TATATATATATATATATATATGGAAGCAACTAGAAACTACTACAATATGTCATTATATTTATATTAAAATGTTCATCTTCTTAAATTCAGTCATATAACATAAATGTGTTACATAATGGAGGCATATATAGGTCATAAAAATTGCCAAAAAAATCAGATTTATTTGGATAAAAAACATAAAAATAGTTGCATCTCACCTCAAGCTAGCACGGTTGACGAATTAGCTCTCTGAGGGATTGATCCAATAAGCTCTTAACCAATTAACCAACAAGGAAATATGGAAAGTGATTGTGGTCTCTTTCATAAGAGCCAAGGGATATTTGTTGAGACAAAAGAAGAAAAGGGAAAAATCCAATTGGACTAAACCAATTTAGCCATTTTAGGATACTAGAAAACTTTAGGTTGAAACAAAGGGTGCATGATCAAATATAAGAGGTAGAAAAGATGTTTCCTATATATGTATGAAAAGATGTTGCACCCATGAAAGATAAAAAACCTCAATTTTTTTTATTATTATTATTGGGGAGCTTAATGAAGTGGTCGTATTATGCTCTGATGAAATTAGGCTGTCTATTTAATCTTCATATACGAAGTTGAAGTCGAGAAGGGGAGCCTCTATGTACCTTAAGAAGTTACGTTGTAACTATTATAGGTGTAACTGAGCCAAGTTAACTCATGAGCTGGCTAGGGCACAACTTAATAATTGGCTCATGAGTTGAGTGAGTTCAATGAGCTAGTAAGTCAAACTCAAACTAGCCCCAACTCATTTTATTAGTTCGTGAGCCAACTCATTAAAATATAATTAATATAAAATACAATCAAAATATATTAAAATTCAAACTTTCTCTATAAGTTATTAAAAATATTTAAAACTTTATATTTTCAATTTTATATATAATATTTATTTTTTATTATTTATCTCCTAATTAAAATTTCACTTATCATTTTATTATAACAATAACCTAAATTAATACTAATAATAAACTCAAGTTAGGCAATCAACTAGCTTAAACTCAAGTTCGAGCTCAAACTCGGTTAATTAATCAAACACAGGCTCAAGACAATGGTGGCTTGAGCTCAAATCAACTCATTTACATCCCAAGTCTCTATATATCCTACATTATTTTATTTTTTTAGGACTGATATGCTTAGGGTTTACAATATAATAAGCCTTTCCAGGCACCCAAAAAAAAAAATACAGGCATAAAGCAGTCTCAAAAGACCTCTGATGGAGCCTAACTTATATATTTCATGACAAACAACCTTATCAAATTTAGTTTATAAGAGAAAGACCACCTACAATAATATATATAACTTGTAACACCTCTTTCACAACCTACCAAAGAAACCCAGAATATTTTCTTTCCAAAAAGCAAAATAAGTTCCCTCAGATCTATCTTTTTCAATCTTCTGTATCTATTTTTATGAACAATTAATTCCTCAGTCTAACCTTCTCAGCAAATACTCCACCTGCACTTCCTTTGTGAGGGGCATAATCCACTTGTCATAGAGTTCAGCAACAAAGCCAGGCCTGATTTTAAATTGTGGTGGGTCCTGTCTTTCAGCAGAGCTAACGGTCACCTCCTGCGCAAAAATTTTGGCCTTTGTTTCTACCCTCCGCTTGACCACAGTCTCCACCAGTTCGTATGTCAACAAAGACAATATTTGTTCTCGGTCCTGAAAGACATGGTTAGAAGTTGTCAGAAGTTGCAAGCATTTGCATTATACTTGTAATAAACGAGCCGAGTCGAGTTCGAGCTCGAGTGGGCTCAAGAGCTGACTTATTTATTATGAATGAAAGAAAAAAAAAAAAACTAATTCGGGCTAATTATGAGATAAATAATAAGAAATCACTTGATATAAATATTAAATATCATTTTAAAACATTTTTTATAATTTAAAAATAACGTCTTGAATTTTAATTTTTTAAAATATATTTATAATAATATTTTGGAAAATTTCCATTCTTGGCACGTAATTCTTATGTATTTACATATCTAATACCTAAACTTTCATATTTATATACATAACACTTTAATGCTTTAAGCTTAATGCCTGACAAGGTGTACTTTACATTTAAAAAATGGTAAGAGCGCAATTTTTTTTTTGTGATATTACATATTTGAGTGATATATTCGTAAATATGAATGTTTAGCAGTGAGACAAGTAAATAGAAAAAGAATTGTGCGCTATGTATGTAAATGCCCATAATAATTTTTTAAACAAGCAAGCACACGAGCTAAAGAGTCAAGTTTGGCCTGGCTTGAGCTTGGCTTGTTAGCTCATCGAGCTTAGGTCACGAGTCACTTATCGAGTCGAGCCTGAGCAAGCTTGGCTAGTTACACCACTATTTGCAGTAAAAACATGTTTAAAAGATGATTTGATGTGCACGACCTTAATCCTCCCTAACCACGAAGAAATAGTTCGCGTGATTTGAAGCTTTGATATTTAAACCACCATGAAGCCTTAGTCGCCGGTGCCAACAGCAACAACAAGCCTATTGGATCGGCCGCCGGCGCAGCCAAACCAAATATGATAAAAATAAAGAACATAAAATCAAACCTGGGCTTTTATGGCAGCATGGAACTTTCCAGGGCTCTCCTGAAACTTTGCCTCAGCCACAAACTTTCCATAATGGATTCTCTTGGATAGAGACTGTGCAGACAAATAAAAGTTAGATGATGAGTTTAAGTGTTCAAGCTCCCTCACAAGAAGTCATGAGAAATATCATATAGCTCAGAATGCATACATGCCAACCCACTCTTATGTATTTACATAATATCTAACACCTAAACTTTACCTTTTATATTTATACCACCATTTTAACTTCTACAAAGTTAAATACACCTTGTCATACATAGGTAAGGTGGCATTTATGTAAATACTGAAGTTTTGCTCTTAGATAAGTAAAAACATAGGAATTAAGTGATATGTATGTAAATCTTCCAAAATCAAAATAAAAAACTTTCTTTCTCACAACATGGTGGAACAATGAAGATAATGCATGTAAAAAATTCATTTACATGCATATTAGTAAGACTAAAACCAACAGTTGCAAAATTTATATTATTTTCATGATAGTTTTACCTGCAAGCAAATTGTGTCACAAACAGAACTCGATCCACAATTTCCATCGCTTCCACTTTTGACCATATTGGGTAGCAGATCGTCGAAGTACATTTGCCATACTATCTTGTTTATATTTATCGAATCTGCAGCAAAATGCAAGACCTACAAGAACAATCAAACAGAACTTCAGAACCATAAGTTAATTAAAAAAGTCAATAATTTTAGAAAAGATTTATGTTGTGCAAAGCAACTAAAACTACTGATCTTCTGAATATATTGTAAACAACAATAACTCGCGTTCTGCCTAGAAAATAGCCGAGCCTAATTTTCTTTCCATTTCATTGTCAAAAAAATGGTAAAAATAAAATACAAGGAATATCAGTTTATCATGAATTTCTACAAATACGAAGCATTCACCAATTCAAAACTTCAATTTGCACTTGTTCGATCACTGATCCTATACCATGTTGTTCCTAAAGCAACTTATCAGAGTTCAAATGAAGATCATATGGTAGGCCTCACAATAATTTTTAGGAATATTTAGATAAATACCAGTCAATTCTTATTTATTTACATATTTAACACCTACCTTTTACATTTATACCACCCAAATCTTTCATATCACATGAAAAATACCCCACTATTTTAACTTTTAAAAAGTGAAATACACCTTTTAATGCATGGGTAAGGTGGCATATATCTAAAATTTGAGTTTGGGTGTTAGATATATAAAAACATAAGAATTGAGTGGTATGTATGTAAATCTTCCTAATTTTTATGCAGTTAATTAATAGGCTGAGCTGCCTAAAAAACTCAGTGAATCTGAATTTAAACTCTGCATTAGAGAATTAGACTTCTTTTCTCTTGTACAACTTCCTTTGTAATTGTTATATTCAATAACTATACCGTCTACTTGCATACTAGGCTACAGCCTATTAAGTTTAGATTTTGTAGCTGGACATTTTAAGATCACCATTACAAAGATAAACAAACAAATAAACGAAATTTACAGTGTGTTTTTTTAAACCAAATTTCAACTTAAAAGAATATATATATTTGTTTAAATAAAAATAGCACCTAGCACCATAGAACAGAGGTTTAAAACTGCCACCATAAATCATAAGAATATACGAAATCATGAAGAGGGAAAAATGCAAAATCACAATAGTTGTATCATAATTTTGTAAATATGAAAAATGCCTTGCTTGAGGCAATTGTTTCCTGAGCAAAGGTGCCGCTTCAGGTAATACAAGATAGTTTTTTTTCTAAAATATCACCCACATAGACTAAGGCACCAAGATGGCAACATGCCTAACCCAAGCACCAAAGATGCTGAGGTGAATAAGTATGCCTAAATAAATATATTCCAATAGAACCAGACAAGAAGGGCATCATTTCTGCCTAAGATCCCAGCATATCTACTGCTATAAAACGTTTAATCATATTGTAAATTTGGCATAAAGTTAAAAACAATTAAGGAACATTTAGATTGAGTCTAGCTTCGATCTTTTTTTATTTTATGCCCCGCATAAAAATGTTATTATTTTTTAGTGTTCATTAACATAAAAATTTTGAACAAAGAAATAAACTAATTTTGTGGGAATTCAATTTATATTCCATGATTTAGAGATAAAGATAAACCATAATGTGAAATATTAACAACCAATGTATTACCAAAACAGAAAGATTTACAAATTGCGAAGATAAAACAACGGGCATCCTTTCCTCTTTGAATTGTTTGACAGATAGCAACCACCATTAAGAACAAACACTTCAAAGAGGGCACGTGTCATATAATACATTTTATCAAATACAAGGGCACTTGTCTCTGGAACAAGATTGGTTGTGCTATTTGACATGTCTTCTTTTAATTGCTAATCTAAATGTTTCTTGGATGTCTCTTCAAACGTCAATCTTAAATGTTTGAAACATTACACACAAATTATAGCCTTCTTGCCCACTATAATTACAAGAAATCATAATCATCATTAGCTTTATCACAATTATTTGGGATCATTGTTGTGTATTCCCGTTTTCATTTGTCAAATTAAAATTCGTCAAAGATTTAGTATATTATTCACAAATTATTTTGAACAACTTCAATCCAGATAACATTAAATCTACTAATCTTTTCCCTTCTAAATCCTAATCCTACTTTCAATCATCTTATTTTTAATAAATGCTAATCTAAATTTTTTCTCCAATATAAATCATTTCTTAATATTTTGTTCCTACTCTTTCTACAAATTCATTTTAGCATTCGCATTCCTAGATATCAATGATTCTTTATGATTCAACATTAGATCTATACAAATTTTTTAGCTAATTGTTTTTTTATAAAATTTATTTTAAAATTTTCAAGAATATTGTGTCATCCCAAAACTCATAGGACGATGGTATATTTTATTTGACTGAAAAATTGTGCACCATAATAATAATATGACTCATTCTTAGTCACTCTATTTAATTTAGCAATCAATGGTAGAAACTGTGTACATATAATTGTATAATCACTAAATGTTAAATTAACTTCAACAATGCTTAGAAGATTAGTCAAAAACAAAAAAAAAAAATGTAAGCAATAAAGGATAAAATAATTTGACTATTTATATCATCCACCAAACAAAGTAAGTAATAAATGAAGTAAAAAATGACCTTGATTGCCTATTAGAGAATGACCATTAACCAAACATGAAACGCTAATTTTGTGCAAGAGAATAAATCCTTGAAAAAAGGACGATTAAAAGAGGATTTCTAGTTTCTTTAATATTTATCATACCCTTGGATACTGCATAGGAGGAAGCATTGGCTCAGATAAATACTCTGGAAAAAAAGGATGTTCATCAGGACTCTTGTATCTTCCAACCTAGATTACAAAAGAAACATAAGATATTGAGCTAAGAAGAACTTTAAAACAACTTCTACATTCTAATTAAATTAATCATCTACCTTTGCGTGAAGCCTTTCTGTTTCTTTAACCATGTACTCAATTAAAGAACCATGAAATCCATTCATTGAGAACATACTACGATCATATGTGTCAGCATTGTAACAATACTTTGCTCGTTCCAAAAGAGCAAATATTATGCTATCCTCCTGCCTTACTAAAGAGTGCCTAACACTTTCCAAGGTTAAGCTTTTGCTTATATCCGTCCTCTCCCTGTTCGCAATCACTTAAAATAATAAACATCTAGCATTCTTTGAGAGTGTTAAAAAAACAAAATGCTTTTTATGACTTCAAAATGCATAAAATTGACTTAAACAAACAAAATATCACATTTGTTATAGGCTTAATTAGAAAACCAAATGGCAAAGATGTATTCATATTGTAAGGAACATGCGTAAAATATACCTAATGTATGGATTTACTCAATGCCATCATTCAACAAAAAAGAAAAGAGAAAAAGATTCACCTTTAATTTTCTTTTCAAGATTTTTCATATTTCTCGCATTTACAAATGCTCTAAAAAGTGAACTCATACACAATACATATTATAGCATGACAAACTACGATAGGATCATAATCAAATTATTTTTCAACATCATAATTCTTATCACAACTATTGTGATCGGATTTATAGATCGCCCTCCAAGTTTCATTCCATTAGTCTTGCATGAGTTATCAACTCTATTTTGGCATGTATTTTGCACAAATTGTAGACATGTCACCAATAGTTTACCCATTTCTCGGTCATAATTCTTTCCAATTAATTTTTTTTAGCAAATTAGTGCATCGTTTGTCATTTATCCTCCATACATAACCAAACTTCTTTTATATATTTTTTAATATCATTATCTTTCAAAATGTGTTATTGCCATGACATCTTTAATAACAATTTTTCACTTACTCTTTATACTTTTCCATACGGCAATTTTTTAAATCCTCATTTTACCACACTTAATTGAGTTGCAACGCCTTCATGTTGCCAAACAATTAGATAAAAAATCATGACTAATCAAATTGAAATTTTGTTAAATCTAAATCAAGGTTTGCCTTATATTCTCCCATTATAAATTACTTCAAAATGTTTCCCCATTTAAATGTTCAACTCAATTAAATTTGAGACCAAATCTATATTCAGATTTTTTGGGGTAAGAGATCAAAGATACTTACCTAGCAAAAAGTATACGTCTTCCAATAATACTTATTTATAATTGCTACTACATATCCACTAAAAATATACATTATATTTTTACTCTTTGTTTTACTAATCTTAAGTCCATTTTCTTTTAAAATTGTCTTCATTATTTTAAATTTTCACATACTTTACAAGGGCCGTTGCATAAATAGAATTATGTCATTTGCTAATAGCACACACTTAGATACTTGACCATTAAGTGCTTTTAAGCTTTCACAAAAATACATAAAAATATATAGTTAACTTTAATCCTATTGCTTCATGTAATCTCATTATTATTAAAAACATTGGTTATTGTTGCTCAACAACTATTAATTGAGTCATTATTGCATCATATTGCATCAACATTTAAAAAAACAAAAACTAAATCACATTTCTACTTTTCCATATGTTCCTCTTCGATTACTTCAAAATGTGCTCTCTATTTTTATTATTTATTTTACTAATGAATCTTAAGTCTCGTCTTCTAATATTTGTCTTCATTATTTTAAATTTAATTTAACTCATAAGAGATGTGACCTAATCAAAATTATGTCATCTAAAAATAGCATCTACCAAAGTCCATAGCTTTGAATATCTTTAAGCTTTCAAGAAATAACATCAAGATACAAATCTAATGATAAGATTTATGCATGGTGTAATCTCACCATGACTGAAACCCTTTAAGTGATCCTTCTAACCAAGTCATTAATGCATCATATTGAATACAGCAACAACAACAACAACAACAAACCTTTATCCCACTAAGTAGGGTCGACTACATGAATACTTTTTCTCCATTGTGTCCTATTGAGTGTCATATTTTCATTTAATTCTAATAAATTAAGATTATTTTTTATACAATATGCCCAAGTCTTTCTAGGTATACCTCTGTCTTTTTTAACATAAGTCAAATCCAAAACATCTACTCTCCCAATCGTATCATCAGATCGTCGACGTTTAATGTGACGACACCATCTAAGACGACTCTATTTAATTTTGTCTGCCACTGGAGCTACACCAACCTTATCATAGATATATTCATTTCACATTTTGTCTTTAAGTGTAAAGCCACCCATCCACCTAAGCATTTTCATCTCGGCAACACTTAACTTAGTTTTATGCTTCTCTTTTGAAGGCCAACATTTTGCGCCATAGAGCATTGCAGCCATAGAGCATTGCAAGTAAGTCTCACCACTAACTTATAATTTTTTTCTTTCAATCTAAATAGTACTTTTCCATCACACAAGAGGCTCGAAGCATTCATCGACTTCATCCAATCAACTTGAATTCTACTAATAACATCCCCATCTATATCACCATCACTTTGAACAATAGACCGTGGATATCTAACGCGTTCACACCTTATAATAATTTGATCACTCATAGTTACAACTCAGTCGCTAGAGCTACTACAACTAAAATTACATTCCATGTATTCAGATTTAGTTCTACTCAAATGAAGGCCTTTAGACTCCGTTGTAGACCTCCATAATTCAAGTTTTTCCTGAGCTTTCTCTTTAGTCTTATCCACAAGAAAGATATCATCTGTGAAAAGCATACACCAAGGTACATCTTCCTGTAAATGTCTAGTAAGAGCATCCATAACTAATGCATCATATGAATCAATGAAATAAAAAACCTAAATTACATATCTACTTTCCCTTATTTTACTCTTTAAATACTTGAAGAAGTGCTTCTCTTGATGCTATTGAAAAAAAGAAGGCACAATTACTTGGCTTCTTCTTCAATATTCAAGCAAACACTTAAAAATTAAAAATAATCTATATATTATGGATAATATTATTATAGAGCTAATTTGACTCCCTAATGCCAGCATGTAAATGCTAAATCCATTTTTTTTCCATGAACATATTAAAATGAAGTTCCTTCACAAGAATCAAGCAAAAAAAGGTAATACTCCTTCCATGGATGATTGAAATTTGACATGCATGAAGCAGAGTAAATATGGGAATGCATTCTTATGATTAGTTATTTAGATTCAAACAAAAAGGACCTGTCATGTTAAACATTGGATTAATGGATTACGCTCTTTTAATCCCACAATTCTACAATCCATAGAAACCTTGGATTTAATTTATTTTGTGATAGAAAGAGACGAGTGGAAGGACAAAAACAATAAAGCATTAATTATTCTAATTAATATAGCAAAAAAAAGTTTTTTACTCTAGCAAATGTTAATTATACCTTATATACCTGATATAATTAATTTTTATTAAATATAAATTTAAAACCCAAATAACTTTAATAAATATTGATCCCTATTTAATATCCAACCTAATTGCTTCAATTAAAAATTAATTAGATTGTTTAGTAAAACTAGAAGATAATTACTCCAATTAGTTAAACTTAAAACTGATTAAACAAAAGAGGAATAATGACTAAATATTCCATATTTAATGTCTTATGAGTCTCTAATATTCTTTTAAATTTAAATTCTTAATTAGATAGAAAATAATTCTACTCTATTTGATTAAATGTTAATTTATATGATCAGCGCAACTAAATTTTACTTAACCTAATTAATCAAACTTAATACTAACCAAACCTAGTTAATATAGTAATTAACAAATCTCAATTTACAGTTAATCACTAGCTCATCTAATAGGCATTGATTCAAATTAAAGTATATTTAATCTTTGAACAATCAAATTAAACACTAAATAGCTAATTAGTACCGTTTAAGCAACAATCACTCTTGCCTACTAAACTAATTATCTAATGTTAGTCTCTTTATATGATAATAATCATCCCAAATCAAAGTTTAAATACACCCTGACAAATCCAATTACAGTCCTAATTAGTGAAATTAACTACTAATTAACCAATTTATCCTATTGAACATTAATCAACCTTTCCTTCATAATTGATCAATCCCTACCTTTTTTAATTAATCATAAATTTCAATATATATATATATATATATATATCTCATCCTTAACCAAAGTAAAATTAATCAGTGATAGTTCGATTAAAGATTAACTTCCTATATAGTTTAATAGTTGATGGACTTAGTCCAACTTTTTCAAATAAGTCTGATTAGTCAAATTAGTTAATAAATAAAAAAATTAAATATTTAATTTTTTACTATAATAAATAATTTTTTACATTAAATAAACTATTAAATCCGAACCCAAATCAGATTATAAATCCATCAATAAATCTCTCAACCAGTACCCAAATAGCTTTCAAGCATTAAAATATCAAAACCCAAATAGTTTAGAGAATTAGAAAAATCTGGACTTGTAAATTCATATGCCCACAAAAATATATATATAAAGCGAATACAAACACAAAGCAAAACAAACAATTCATCATGTTTTGCATTTTTCATAAAAAACTAGATTAAAAATCCTCTCTAACACGAAATATAATCTCACTAGATCTTCCTAATCACCCATTGCATGATGTAATTAACCAGGATCACTCAGCCAAACCAAATTATAGCGATGAGAATCCAATTTCATTCCCTTCAATAAAGGAAAGAATCCATCAAACTGAATTCAAACTACGAAGCATCAAAATCCAAATCAAAACAGAGAAATAAACCAACACAAAACAAAATCATAAATCAAACAAACCTACAAACACACTCTACAAAAGTTCCAATAACAAAACACAAAAAAAAGGATAAATATACCTCGAACCCGAAAGCGCGCTTTGGATTGAATGGAGCTTTTTCTCCGGCGATGCCTGAAGAAACGACCCAAAAAAGGGCTTTTTCGGCTTCAGAGCCGAAAAGGGGGCGGTGATCCTCCGATCTCCGATCGCCGACGGTTTGGCGAACGTAGATGGCGCATTCAGAAGCTTCAGATCCATCGCAGACTACACAAAACTTCTGAGAAAGAGAGTAGGTGAAAGAAAATCAACAACAACGAACACGGAGACAAGTTGTTGGGAACGGAGCAACAAATAGAAAGCAATTGGGGGCCCTTCTATGGTAGGTAAGGGTCGAAGAGGGACTCGGATCCGAAGAAAGTGGAGCGGTGGGAATCATTAGGCATCAAAAATTAGGTATAGGAATCTTCAAATCGAGAGAGAATTGGAAGTTTTTTTTACTGCAGCGCGAATCCGATTGACGTGTAGCGTAAATTTATAATTTTTATGGGTCGGTTAGGAGGGGATTATTGCGTGCGGACACCGCATGCATCTCTGCATGCGGTGTTCGATTCTGGCCGTAGATCACGGTGATCTACGATCAGGATTATTTCCGATCAGGATTAAAAAAAAAAAAAATTTTAGGTGGGGCCCACCGAAATACATCAGGACCGTAAATCATGTGATTTACGGTCC